ACAGCACTTCTATACTACTTTGTAACTGCCTGTAGTTCATTGCTCTTTCTAAGGATAGATATGAGCAATATATTTTACACACTTGACTTGTATTGTAGTTAAGATTTTGGCACACCTATGTTAGGACTTCTTTACGCGGGCAGATTTATGTCGTACGAATAGGTAGCCCTTAAAAAAATATTACAAAACTTGTGCTAAGTTCTGCAGTTCTGGCGCAAACCCAGATGAGGTACCTGGGCTTGCGCCTTGGCCGGAACACCCCCGTGGGATTTGGAGGCGGAAGTGCTCGCCGAAGTGTATCGGCGAGTGGCTGACTTCCGGGCGGAGAGCGGATTTCGCCCTCCGCCCGAAGACATGCGCGAGTGGCGCGAAGCCGCTCGCCGAGCCACCATGGTCAGATGGTTGTTCCGGCTGGAGACTCCACGCGCTGGCTTCGCCGCCGTGGAGGCCCTCCAGCCGGTCATCGCCGAGTGGGCAGGGCGGCATCACGGGACCCTTACCTTCCGGCTGACGCAGGTGCTTTCCGGGCACGGTTGCTTCGGAAAGTAACTGTACTCGGTCGCTAGGAGGGAATCGAGTCCCGCCTGCCACCACTGCGACTGCAGTGAGGACTCGGCCCAGCACACGCTGGCGGTCTGCCCCGCATGGGCGACGCAGCGCCGGGCCCTCACTGCAGTCATCGGAGCAGATTTCTCTCTACCAGCCGTAATTCGCTCCATGGCCGGTAGCGACAGTTGTTTTACCGCGGTCGCAACCTTCTGCGAGGAGGTAATCTCGCAGAAGGAGGCGGCGGAGAAGGCCCGGGAGGACGACCTCCATTCGGACCTGATCCGCCGCCGCCAAACCGGGCGGCGGAAGCGCGCTCACCTGCGCCTCATGCTGCCCCGAGTGTGGCCGCGGGTGGACGGGATGGGCTCTCCCCTCCACCCGCATTAGTTAGCCAGCCGCGAGGGGGCGGCGTCCGCGTGTGCCGGACGTCGCCTAAAGAGAGGAAATTTTTTGAGACGGAGCCCGCAACAGGAGCGGGCCGGCGCGTGGAGGGGTTCAGAAGGCGATAACTACCTGGACCCCTCCTAAACTGGAAGCGCAAAGAGGGCACACCATGTGGTTTTAGTCGGTTCGAGTCCGACACACCGCCCCGCCGAACGAGAGCCCCGGCGGGGTGACGGTCCGAGGGGATTTCCACACGTAAAAAAAAAAGGCAAGTTTTCCTCCGAGCGCAATTTTTAGATGAGAGAACAAGAAAAAGTCGCTTAGGGCTAAATCTGGTGAGTAAGGTCAAGCAGTTCAAACCGTAATTCGTGGATTTCCGTTTCGTGCGTTGACTCTGTTAAACAGGATTTTCTTTTTCTGCAAATGTGGAAGTTTTTTCACAAGTTCTGCCTTCAGCTTATCAAGTAATGATGCGTAGTATGCTCCTGTAATAGTTTTTCCTGTTTGGAGATAATTGATTAAAATAAAAACAGTCGCCATCACTTTCCCAGCCCGAAAAACAGTTTTTGCCTTTTTTGGAGCTGATTTCCCCTTTTCAGTCCACTGTTTGGACTGTATTTTTGTTTCGAGCGTATAATGGTGTATCCAAGTTTCATCTACAGTAATTAATCGTCGCCAAAACTCGGATTTGTTGCGCCTAAACAGCGCCAACAGAGCGTTGCAAATGTTCATTCGAAGACGTTTTTGGTCTAACGTGAGTAAACGCGGCACTTAACGCGCGGACAGCTTTCTTATGTCTAAATGTTGACTACCCCAATTCATCCCGTGGGTGTCGTAAGAGCCGACTAAAGGTGCAAAACAACGCAGGACACCAGCACTGCAAAAAGAAGGAAAACTTGACACAAACTCTATACCAACCCGTCTGGCCAGCGTGGTATAGTAGGCCAAAACCTCCTTTCTAAGGAGAGGCCTATGTCCAGCAGTGGACTATAAAAGGCTGTTGATGATGATGATGATGACGTTCTTTAAACATGTTCATAACTTCTTCTATCTCTCTCACTTTAATTCGGCGGTTGTCTAGCACCATTTGGTGAACTTAGGCGATGTTTTTGGCGGTAGTTGCAGTTTTTGGATGTCGCGAACGTTCATCGTCTCCCAAGCTCTTACGGCTAAAATGCTTCATTTAAATGTAAAGGAAATGTACTGGAAGCACAAAGAACAGGTTATAAGTATTGAACGTCGATCATAACAACGTTAGCTTATCATCATAATCACATATTATAACAACATGATGGTATTGCGACAAAAGTTTTAAAAACAGTAGCTTGTGAAATATGTTGTCACTTAAGCTACATTATTAATCTTTCTATCCGCAAAGGTGTGTTTCCAATGCTCTTAAAATATCCATTGGAAAACCTCTATTTAGGAAAGATGATAGAGAATGTATGAAAAATTATAGACCTATATCTTTAATACCTGTCATAGCTAAGATTTTTGAAGAACTGTCTAATTACTTAGAAAATAATGATATTTTATGTAGCGAACAAAAAGGTTTTCGTGAAGAAAAAACATGCGACATGCGATCTTTTGATTATGTCAGACATGATAGTCTTTTAAGTAAGCTCGAAGCATATATAATAAGGGGTAATGTGCTAGATCTATTCAAATCTTACCTGGCCAATAGGAAACAGTACACATAAATTTCCAAAATAAATATAAAGAGTAAACGTGAAGAAACTCATCAGTCTGAACAGCGAAATGTAATTTATGGCGTTCCTTAAGGGAAAGTAGTTGGCCCTTTACCTTTTACACTCTATATTAATGATTTACCGAAATCTGTTGCCCACCATATGACGTTATTTGCAGGTGATAGCACATTAACAATTTCTTATGATAAAAATGGCATAACTAATTATAAAAATGACATAGATATTTCACCGAAATCTATTATTGACTGGTTAGGAATAAACAACTTAAGAATTAACCTCGATAAAACCAAAATTATGCACTTTAGCCAGCAATTAGATGCTTTAAAAACTCTTCAAATACAATATTAGGATAGAGTAGTGGAAATGTAAACACAAAAACATTGATGAAATTGGAAAGGGCATGAATCCCTGAATGTTAAGTACACACTTGGGACATTCATTCAGCAATTATTGCATGCCTCACTCATCTTTTAATGATATTATGGAAAAAGTTTTAAATTCCAAATCAAACTTCAATGTAAATACTTCGTTAGTCATTTTTGTTGGTAACAGGCGAAATGTAAACAAACAAAATTCTTAGGTCATTTTGAATTATTGTTTAATTAGATGTAAATAAAATTGTATTGTTTACACTCCTTCTTAGTAAAGGGTTGTCGCAGGAGGAAAAAAATATAAACATAATTTAAATATAATGATGCACAATCTAACTGAGAACTCTACTAGAAATAGACATTTTAAATAATTTAAATTTACTGATAAGACAATAGAGACTACCTCTTGCACTATTATTTGAACACTAATAGAAAGTTCAATCATAGTAAATTTATTAAAAATAATAAATAATATCAATTTGGTGCATCAAAACATTAGAGAAATGATGGGCAAAGACTTAGAGATGGAACTGTTCATGAACTGCCATGTAATTGATATTTTTTCTATTACTGAACACTGGTTGAAACGGAATAAGTTCATGTTCAATTTTGATCACCACCAGGTAGGCAGCTCTTTCAGCAGAAGTATAGCAATACATGATGGCACTATGATACTCACTATGATATGAACTTAAAAGAAGGTAAAGAATAAGTTAAAGAGGTTAAAGAGCGCCATGACATTATTAGTTTATCAGTTGATCGAACTACATAAATAGCCTGTATAGAACCAAAAGGTTTCATAGTAGCATGTGTATACAAACCTCCTTCAGCTATGTATAATTGTTTTGAACGTGTAGTGGATGAAGTATCAGTTAAAGTAACAAGCTCAAAAAAGAAGGTCAACATCTGTGGTGACTTTAATATTAACCGATATAGTAGTAAGTATAGTAACCAAGTTCAAGGCACTCTTTCAATGACACAATCTGAAGAACTTGTTCTTGGAGCCTACTCGAATCACTGCAACCACTGCCACATGTTTAGACGATATATCAGATTGCGATTGACATCACTTTTATTTAGACTAAAACGGATACTTACTACTTTCACAGACGTAAACAGTGCCATTTCGAAAGTGGTTCATTGGTTTGACGTCAACAATTTGCATTTAAATAAACAAAAAACGAAGTGTATACGTTTCACTATGCCAAACGTCAAGCCAGTGAAAACTACTGTGATGATTAAGGATGTCGGGTTAGACCTTGCGGACACTACGACATTTTAAGTACAGTACTGGGTTCTAAGCCACCGTGGGGCCCACATATTGATAAATTATCGAGTAGACTCAGCTCAGCAGCATATGCAAATTAGTATATTAAATAATAGAAAAATTCGAGAGTTGAATGATGTCGATACAGCACGACTTGTCTACTTCAGTTATTTTCATAGCATAATGTGGTACATAATCTACTGTGGGAGAATCGCTTTAAAGACTTTCTTATACAAAAGGCATTCTATAGTGTTACAGATGTTTTGGCATTAAACACTTAAATAATATAATTTAATATTAATATGTAATCTCTTTTTATTCGATATTTTTTGTGTACTAAAACATTTTTGTTTTATTTGTACGCCATAAAAGAAACGGCTAAACACGTTGGAACTATCTTAATTTTTAATACCTTGCATGCAATAAAGAAATGATTTGATTTTATTAGCAGTGTAAGGAATTTAACATTTTGCTTCCGCGACTGATTTCATGAATGACGATTACATTGACGCTAAATTTGATAATAAATATTTTAGTACAAAAAATATAATTTATGCATATTATGTAAACATAATCTCTTGCAGAAGGTGTAGCGAAAATTGAAACATTTGCAATCAGGTTTTTCATTAATATCTTTTTTGTTATTGACCACCAGAAAATCCATTTATTAATTAAGTACTAATGTAAATGGATGACATTAATTTTTTGTTTGATTTGTAGTTTCTTTCCCGTCATGTGTCTTGGAGACTACTGAAGAAGAAATAAGTGCTGAGTATTACTCACCAAAGGATCTGATTGTTGGCCAGACTATTTATGCGCTTGGACGGAGGATGCTCATCTGCGATTGCGATTCCTTCACTCGAAATTATTACAAGTAAGTTAAGATAGTTTTTTCATTTCACAACCATTTTATAATATGATCCTGGCGCACCTTCTATGTGAAGCCTTCTTTTTATTCATCTATGAAAAATAAAATAGTATAAGTTATGTATGAACACAGCCACTAAAAAATTACGGATCCTACATACGCCCTAGGATTTACAATATATAAATTTATAACACTTAATTGAGAATATTATTTTTACTTAAATAGGTACTAATAAATAGCAAAAAAATACTAAATGCACTAAGAGTAAGACTGAGTCAGATTAATATTGATTTTATTGTACGCCTTTTAATTTAATTATGTTTGAATATGTGAACAGAAGTTGTGTCGAACGTTTTTGTTTAATCCAAAAATGAACGATTTGAGAATTTATTCTGTGTGAATCTGCGTTCTAGATGAATTTATACCCAGTAAGAAAACTATTTTAGGACTAATTGAATTTCCTTTTATTTAATAGTAATTTCTAGAATGTGGATAAAGAACAAAGAGATCATTTCTTCCTCCGCAAAACAACTAATCTACACAGCAAGAAAGAGCTTAAATTCAGATAAATGTATCTTGATAAATAGTATACCTTTTAACAATCTATAATCAAAATAATACATGATGTCATCGGAAGTACAAGTAGTAGTACAAGTATTCCTTAGAATGCTGAGGAATACTTGTACTACACACATTTAGTACACTTATTTTTATTTTTAAATAAAGTGAAAATTTCAACGGACGCATTTTTGACTCCTGAGTTGCAGACGTTAATAGGTGGCGATGATCACTTTCCATCAGGTGACCCGTCTGCTCGTCTGTCTGCCCCCCTCTAACATAAAAAAATATGTATTGATAACAAGCAATATCAATACACACACAATAAACCCAAAAGTTATGCTAATCAAATCATGGCCCGTTAAATTGATGTGCTACATTTCATACGTATAAATTAGACTATTAAGACTATTACTGGTTGTCATTTATATTGCGTTTAAAAATTCTCACATTAATATTAACTTCAGATGCTATTAAATACGCCCTTTTAACTGAGGAAGCTCTTGTTAGTTACTTTTTCATAAAAGTACCTATAGGCAATTCGCGTCATGAAAATAATGACTCATCGTTGTCACTTGACCAAGCCTTGTCCAAACTCGATATGCCAGGGTTTTCGTCAATATTATTCCATTAATGACAAAGTAGTAGTTCACAAAACCCTTTCAATCGAAAATCTTTATTGAAGATGTCAGTAATACAGAAAAAAATATTGAAGACAAAGGAAGATTCAACTCGTATTTTATTAAACGCGTGACATTATCATTTAGGTTACCTCTACTACTTACTGCAAAAGGTAAGATACAGATATTGAAAGTACCATAATACTAATCTTTAAAAACTTTGAAAACCAAAAAAATAATTAGTGTAATACGAATATAATAAAATTATAACCAATAATGCAGTATGATGTAACGGACCTTGTTTTAAAAATTCGTAGATACAGTAGGTACATTAAAATAACTACCTAACAACTTAGTAAATGTGTCAACTTTAATTTAATACATGCATAAAAATACCTGCCTACCTGCATAAAATAAATGAGAATATTATACAGTTTAATTTGGTAAGAAAAAATATTTCAGTGAAGAAAGCTTCAGGCCAAATCTGCAGGCTTACATTAAGGAGACAAACCCTTTTGATGGGTATCAAACGACTCCTTCATAGACATCACTCAAAGTACATTATACAAGGTACAGCCTACAGGGTAGATATATAAGGAAGTATTTGTAGATTTATATTCGAGCTACATTGAGACAGTTTTCCTGCTCGTGTTTGTTAACGGTCCCTAAAGCCCACCGCAATCTCGGCCAGTTTGACTTACTATTAACTTAACTAGACGTAAAATATTGTTTTTTTTTAAGCCGTGTTAAGAGAATAAAAGCAGTGTCTGGACGTACATTTCGTTTTCTTCTTTTTCTTTTTACTACATAAAAATTTAAATTAAGTTAACATATCGAGTGGAGTGGACGAGACCGCAAGAGCTCTGAGTGGCGCCTGCCCTCACACTCGGCGCTGGCCAGCGCAGGGGCGCTCGAAACCTGCGGAGCGCAAGGGAAGCTCGCTGTGTTGTGGCCGTTTGTTTCCTCCCACACTCGACGCCGGCGAGCACGCACTCAAGCCTGCGGAGCGCGAGAGGAGCCCGCGTCACGTGTTACCCCTCACACTTGACGCTGGCGAGCGATGGACGGTCGCTCGAGCCTGCGGAGCGCGAGGGAAACTCGAGTCGCGAGATGTGTTTTCGGGGAGATGGCCAGCGTCCGGAGTAACGCGTAGCCTGTCCCCGGTTAGCCGGTGGATGGTCGCTCAGCCGGAGTCGGGCGACACAAAGGTATCAGCCGGATGATGGTCGCTCGAGATACGGAGGTATCTCGGGGCAAACAAGCACAGCAGATTCGCCGCTGAAAACCAACTCCGGGGAGTTGGGCTGTGGTGACAATTATATCAGCACTGCTGGACTTACTTGCCACCGCATTGGTGGGCGCACGTCATTGCGAACACACGGCCTGCATGGGACCGGGAAGCACGCGAGTAGGTTCCGTGCAGTGAGCAACGATCTCGGAGGCCTTCGGAAATCCTCGGAAATCTTCGGGCGCTCCGGAGATGCTGCTTGGTCGACGGCCAGCACGCTCCGCTTTTATAGCGCTATCGAATTTACTAGAATGATCCCTAGCATTCGGTAGTCCGTCTTAGAAAATTAAAAATATTCCAGTATCAGTTAAGCGTTACTTGCAGCGCCATCTAGCGTTGTAAATATCAAAATTATTAATCACAATCTCAATAGTTGTACTTTACTCGATACTAGATAGCGCTGTTCTCCACATTTCATACAATTCTGGAACAATCGAACCATTTAATCCTATGGCGCAACAATATAAGTAAAAAAACATACAAAATACTAGCAGTCCATAACAATATTAGTATTGTCGAGTTTTTGACACCGATACTTGTGTGACGTCAATATCCTCAAATTCAGTCACACGATTATAGCACCAAGCTAATATACCTAATGGTGCTGTAAGTGGAATAGCTTAGGTACTGAAAAAATTGGTGCCGAAAGAGAAATACTTCATAAAATTATATACGATAAACATGTTTCTTAAAATAGATAAATGATCATTTTTCTGTCCGTGTGGTGACATATTAAGAATACGGAGTGCCACCATTCATACCGTGGGTGTCGTAAGAGCTGACTAAGGCAGCAAACTAAACAGGACTACAGCCCTGCAAAGAGAAGAAAGCTTGACACAAACCCTATACCAGCCCGTCTGGCCAGCGTGGTATAGTACGCCAAAACCTCCTTTCTAAGCAGAGGCCTACGTCCAGCAGTGGAATACTATAGGCTGTTGATGATGGTGATGAACATTAATCTTGAACGTTCCAGCACTTGAACGGTTGGATTAAAAAAAAACATTTCATTGTTTGCTTTTCATTAGGTACACTTAAGGCAAATATATATTTGCCTTAAGTGTAATGAAAAGCAAAGCTTAAGTGTAAGTAAGTGAGGCAATCTTGTACGACTCCATTGCTGTTCCATTAATTATTAGCACCGTCTATACCCGTTTGCCATCATTAATATGTAACACCTGGTGAGCGGAACATACTTCGTACCCACGTAAACATTAAAATCTAAAATTAAAGGAGAAATTTACAGATGCTGTTAATTCGACTGGGAAAATACCACTGAGGAAATGGGAAACTATGTAATGGTATTATTCATTGTATGTACATAACCATAAATAATTCTGTTAAACGTGAAAACCAGAAAGAAACGGATAGTATTTAATTGCAAATCGAAAAATCTTCTTTTTTGTATAAAAAATCCCAATTCTAATCAAAAGCACTGATTGCACAACAAAGTAGTTTGCTCAAAATATTATTATTTTATCAACAATTTAAGTACGTGACACATTGCTGTTATTTGAAAAGCGGAACTTTTATAACCTAACCTACTATTCTGGTCACAGCTTGTTTCTAATATCGATTCGTTTCTTGTGGGGTCGCAGTTCTAACCTAACTAACTAGCTCGTTTCTGACGGGGTCGTCTTAAACCTTAAAAAATACGTAATGGGTTACTATACTATGCTGGCCAGACAGGTTTTTATATAAAGCTGGTACTGGTACGGTGACCATTTCTTCATCGTCATCATCGTCGTTTTCTGTTATAGGTACATATTAGAGCATACATTACGCTATCTAATACACTTGCATAAAAATTTCAATTTTTAACTACCAGAAAATTAAATTAATGAATAGCGAAAGTAGAAATGATTAAATTATTAATTAAAAAAAAATATCCTATTAATTTGCTCGGAAGTGTACTCGTCATGTGTAGGATTCAAGTGGAAAGAACCAGAAATTCAATCCGTAGCAGAGCTCAAAACTCTTTTAGAAACAGTTTAAAGGAAAAGTTTTAGCATTTGTTTCAAAAGAAAGTTTTTCTGAGTTTGCAGTTCTTTTATTGAAATATATCTTGTCTTGGAGTTACAAACATCCACAGGCTACGGTGATCACCGAGCCGTGTGATTACACTTCCACGGCACAGAAACAACTGATCCAACAGTTGGACCCAATAATTTTAAAGATAACATAAATTCTAAAAAAAAAACTTGTTACGGATCCTTTTCTTTCTATTAACTAGACACTAAGACTTTTCTTATTATTTTGCGTGTGAATTTATATTCGCAGTTCATTGTAGGGAACTTTCTACACGAGTTTAAATCCTTAAGGAAAGTCAGTGTAGTGAGGCTAATTGAATGTTTACGCAGGTGCACAGGTGTGTACAATGTGCCACCTAATCTTTTTCACGCAGCAATCTAAGGCGCCACGCTATTTCTCGCCCTACCTTGATTTAACCTTTCTAACTACATATATTATTTACACTTTCATTTGTATTTTCTGAAAGATAATGGTGTTTTTCTGTCTATGCTCTTGCACTCTTAATGGTAAAG